AGCATCGCACTTGGCATTCATTCTTTCAAAACGCAAGGCGGCTTCCCTCAAGGCATCATACGTGACATCTTCAGTAAGAATTGTCGCGAGATGGTTGCGCATGCTCTGGGTGATTGAACGAAGAAAAATACTGGTCTTGAAATCATCGTCCAATTTCTTGCCGCTACTGCGTTCATACTCCTCAAAGATACGTTCCATATCTAAGACTTGAGGCAACAATGGCTCATTGCCCTTGAAGTGGTTCATGCTGGTGATTGCACTCAAGATGCGTTCTCGACGTCGGCTGAAACAGCTGGATGAGCTGCCTCAGGGCCTCGAAGCCTGACTGGGCAGGCACTCGCTGGATCAGCTGCAGGCCCCTGCCCTTCACAAGGCTGCACAAGAGTGCAAACAGCTGCTTGGATCGTTGGGCTGCCTCAGGACTTTTATCCCCTTGACCCTCTTCATCAGGGTGCTGCTCAAGATATGCAATTTCATCTCCAAAAGCAGAATCAAGGGCACACAAGTACTGCTTGAGGCTCCAAAACCACTGCAGCCACATGCCATGCTCTTCCTCTCTCGTGGCAGGCTTAAACACATCGGGTTTCGGGAGAATGCGGGCCATGTCACTGCCTGCAATTCCCTGCTTTGCATTGCCTTGCGACGTTGCTGCACTCAGGGCAGCCTGTGCAGCGGTTGCTGCTGCAGTCGTCGCCTCCATCATCTGTCTCATCATGGTCATCATATCATCTGGCGTCACGTACATACCCTGCGCTTGCGGACTGCCAGGGCTGAACGGATTCTGTGCTGCTGACGCTGAAGCCTGGCTCGCCTGTGCACCTTGGGGCAAGTGCACGCCTTGGCCAGGGTCAACCTCAAGATCGCTTATGTCATCTTGCGATGCCATCACAGCAGCAATCAAGCACTTCGGGAATCTCTCAACTCACTCTCAAGATCCACAGCTTCGGTCTGGGGCACTAAGGATCTTTGGAACTTGGCAGGTTGCGTTTCACACAGATCGATAACAGATGGCGAAGACTGCAACGCTCTCTTAAACGTCGGCCGGCTGTCCTCTGCCAACAACTGTTCGATCAGTCCAAGTTCTCTTTCGAAATTTGGACCCTCTTGCTCTGCCTGGACGAAGCGAAGTTGCTTTGCAAACGGAATCGCCTCCTCACACACTCGCTCTATACCAAGATCTATAAAGTTCTCCTTCAAGCCTTGATCTTTCAAGCAAGTGTTTCCGAAGCACCAAACTTGCTCAACCGTATGAAGAGTTTCCAGCTTCTTCTGGAAAGCAGTGTGGATCCCTGACAAGACAGCTTGCCACCCGTATTCAGTTCTGTTGGCTGGCCTGGGCCGATTCAACAGTTGTTCAAGATACAGGCTGTCCAAGAGCTCTTTAAGCGAATCGCAACTGGCAACAGTTGCCGTGTTCACGAAAGTCACTTGGACGCCAACCGGCTGTCCAGCCGGCAGGTCAATATGGCGCAAGCTACGGCTCACTTCCTACAAAGGACCCCGAAAGAATAAAACAAAGATCAGAAAGCCTGGGCCCCCGAACGCACCCAAAAGATGCTAGAGACCCCAACGACGTGTCTCGAAGCTCGGGCTTTCCCGGGCTCCGCTACCATGAAAAACTTTTGAATCCGTAAAGACGCCTGCAGATTCGAATCACTCAAGTCACATGCTACTTGGGAGCAACAGGTAAAACAACTGCAAAACATAATATCTGGGCATGCTGTAAATCGGGAAAATCCTAAACACAAGCACTGCGTGATGATGGGGTCATAGATTTTCAGATAAGCCGCCGGGAAGGTCTCAGGCAGGTGGAGGAGGGTGTCTGCAATGCCCAATAGGGTGTCCGGTTCCTGGAGCTGGTGTGGCAGGCGCAGCAGCAACTCTTCATAGGTCCCATATGCGCGAAGTTGTTGCCCATGCGTCGTCAAATGAGTCGAATCACGCAAGCACATGTAGGGCCTGGGCTTCACGCTCCTCCCAACATGATGCCCCGCCTCGAGTGCACGCCACATGAGCCCGCAAACAGAATTTTCACTTTCATGGGAAGGAGACTCATTGCTGGGAGTTCTTCGATCACGGGCGCTGCTTGGTGCGGCAGGCCCCCTTGGCTTGGACCTGGGCGGCTCCTGGGAGCCGGTCCTCCGCAGTCCGAGCACCAGGTGCAGGCGAGGGCTGGCAGCGGCCTCCTAAGCCTCCTCTGGCCTTTCTCGGCGTGCCACACGGAGTGCGCGACGCGTTCCTGCGTGGAGGCGGCGGCGGACTAACGGCAACCGCTACCGAACCACGAGCAGCCTTAGGGCTAGGCTTGAGCCACGGTGTACTCCACCGCCCAGCCCTTGCGTACCAACACCAGAATCCGTACGGCTATGCTGTGCAATAACATCAGCTTTTGGCACTGCCGCCATACTTGTGCAGACACTTCCCGCGGGCACAAGGCTGTTTCCCGGAAAGCTTCGATGGCCGATTCAGAAGTGAGTTGGCCAGCCCGCACAGGAGGCGAAGGCCTTGTGAAGCTTGCTGTATGCCCGCTTTGTGCTTAAAGGACGGATCCACTCAGGGGGCAGGTCCCTTCCGGGTCGGTGTCAGAATTTTGGCATCCCCAGCAGGTGGGTAAGATACTTAGCAACCGTTGCACTTACGCGCGAATTGAAAAGGGACGCAGTAAACCGCATTGGGCGCTCCAGAACAAATCCACGCGCCCGCAAGCTGGTCACAGTGCCTGAGTAGAAGTTGGATGTGTAGTAGGGGGAACGTTCCCAGCCTTCAGACTTAAGCACGCGGTACAAGACCTCGTGCTTTTCGCCCCAGGTAGCCTTCAGCGCCCAAGCCTGGGCAAGGGGTGGCGTGCCAAAAAGATCCAGCTCAACCCTGCAATCCGTGGGCAGCACGATGCTTGCCACCCTTTGTTTCCGAAAGACCTGTTTATTCGAATTCTTCGCAATGCCGGGGCCATCAAGGCTCCAAAGGCTGGCCTGTGTACGCAGGTATTCAGCACACTCAATCAGCCCTCCTGTGGAACAGGCCGCCATTTGAAAGCACGCGCCAATGCCATCGGGGTAGTACGGCGCCAGAAAGACCAGCGGTCCTAACCGAGAAGGTGGCTCGGGCGAAACCAGCCTCGCTATTAAACAGAAAGCCGGATGCAGGTAACAAAAACACAGACGCTAAAGGTGGGGCCAGTGGAGCAAGCCGTGGTGATGGCCATAAAGTAACGTTTTAAGGCCCCTAGCTTGTTTAAGAGGAAAGTCCTAAAGACTTTCATGTTCCATGAGCGTGGCAGTTCCGTCACTCTTTTTGAGACAGATGTGCCCACACCGCGCTACAACACAGCTGAGAGGATCGAGGATCTAAGTTTGAGGAGTATCATTCTAGAGGCCTCAGTTCCAAAACTGCATCAGAGTGCAGTTTCAGGTCTTACAGGTACAAATGCAACAGGTACAAATGCAACAGGTACAAATGCAACAGGTACAAATGCAACAGGTACAAATGCAACAGGTACAAATGCAACAGGTACAAATGCAACAGGTACAAATGCAACAGGTACAAATGCAACAGGTACAAATGCAACAGGTACAAATGCAACAGGTACAAATGCAACAGGTACAAATGCAACAGGTACAAATGCAACACAAATGCAACAGGTACAAATGCAACAGGTACAAATGCAACAGGTACAAATGCAACAGGTACAAATGCAACAGGTACAAATGCAACAGGTACAAATGCAACAGGTACAAATGCAACAGGTACAAATGCAACAGGTACAAATGCAACAGGTACAAATGCAACAGGTACAAATGCAACAGGTACAAATGCAACAGGTACAAATGCAACAGCTATAAATGCAACAGGCACAAATGCAACAGGTACAAATGCAACAGGTACAAATGCAACAGGTACAAATGCAACAGGTGCAAATGCAACAGGTACAAATGTAACAGGCACAAATGCAAGAAAGCTGAGCTGTCAAACGACTAAACCCTAAACCCCCTAAACCCTACACCCAAAACCCTAAACCCTAAACCCGAAACCCTAACCCTAAACCCTTAACCTGACCCTTAAACCCTAAAGCCTAACCCTAAACCTTAAACTCCAACCCTGAACCCTTAACTCTAACCCTAAATCCAAACCCTCTGGGGCACCCAGGCTCTGCATTCTCCATGCTGTTAAAGTGGGCCGCCGGGTAAACCCTTATACCATTTATAGGAATTCCTTAGATTTATAGCCTTCCCTGCTAAACTCTTAACCCTAAACCCTAAACCCTAAACCCTAGCCACCCAGAGACTCCAAAACACGTTAAATAAGAAAAAAACACGTTGATTAACGTGATCTGTCTTAAAATTCACATGTAATTAAGCGATGTTGCTTTAAATAGGGTGTATTTCCCTTAATTAACACAATTATGTTCTAATTAGAAGCGAATTGATCCTTAATTAACGAGAGGTTCGATTTTTTTAGCACGTATATCTTAATTAAGCTATGTTTACAACATATCTTTCCTTATTTTTAGGAGATATTTTTGCTACAAGAAGGAGCTGGATTTTTGGCTTATGTTTTGGAAACAGGCATCGATTTTTGCTTGATGTTTTGGAAAAGGCCTGGTTTTTGCTTGCCAAAAATGGTTTTAACATGCAGTTTAAAGTTTTGCAAAATGCACTCTTGCGCGAGCATGCAATGCATGCCATGCGAGCTTAACAGCTAGCATGCATGGTAGGAATGAGTGTTTTTTCGTGGCATGCATGGTGTAGGACTGATTTTTTTTGCATGGTGCATGTTGATCGCTCGAGGCGGCACAGCTGTTGAGCATGCACACTTACTGCATGCTCACGTCCATGCATGAAAGTGCATTTTTTCAGCGATGCTCATGAATGTACGTCTGGGATGTTGATTTTCATGTGACATGTTTAGGATGTGTGCCTAGGATGTGTGCCTAGGATCGACGTGTGCCTAGTTTTCTCCATCGCCAAAGGCGAGCAGTTGCAGAGCAACTTTCTTTAGGCATGGCTCCAAGTCCACGAGCGAAGTGCACAGCATCCGCGAAGGATCTTATGAAATGCTTCCGCCTCAACTGCAAAAAGTTTGAGCCCGAGAGCTACCAGAAAGCAGACTTAGATGAGTTGGTGGCGGACAAGGAACAGCTTTTGTCCGACATTATAGACGAGACACCGAGGGCAAACGAAAGCATCGTCGCTGAAGCACTGGATCTTGCCTATGATGGCCAGAAGAAAAATGTTTTGAAAGAAGTCGCGAGAAAGATCTGTGCTTGTGTGCAGTACGTGAGGCAGAAGGGCCAAAGCAGTAGCTCTTGCAAAAAGCTTACCCCAGCTGTTGCAAGATTGGTGCAGAAGCATCGAGAGCGATACCAGGGTCCGAAACGGATGTTAAGCACGGGTTCTGGTGTCGACGAAGGCCAAGAAGGGTGCTTTTGCTCATGATGCTTTTGCTCATGATGAAGATGCTGCACAGAGCAACTCTGCTGCAGCAATTTTTGCTGCATATGGATTGCAAGATCCCGAAGCAGTCGCTAGTGACTGCAGCGATGTGATGTCGATCCAAGAGTCAGATGCCGAGAACACTTGCCCTGACACCGGCTCTGCCCCCAGCAGCAGCCGATCTCGACCGTACTTCGATGGCAAGAACTATGTGCGAGCACGTGCAGATGGGTCTGTCGAAAAGGCCAGTATGGTTGCGGGTCCGACGGGCTTTTGCCTGGTGCAGTTCGGTTCTGAAAAAGCTTTCAAAAGTGAGGTGCCCAATGTGTATCTGGAGGAGAATAAGCCCAAGAAGAGAGCGAAGGCGAAAGCCAAACCTGCAGCTGTTGATGATGACCGTGATGGGGGGGGCAGGGTGGATGATGGTGCACAGGATCCTGCAGGTGATGATCCAGCAGCGATCAGTGTTGAGGATATCGATGCCAAGGATGTGTGTGTGCATGTCGACTCTGAAGATGATGCAGAGTCCGTCGTTCTGCAGGCCGATGAGTCTGCAGATGAGGGTGAAACGGGCCCTTTGGACGCAGAGAGGAAGACGTGGCATGGATATAGCTTGGAAGATCTACCACAGGAGGCGTGGCCGAACCCGGAGATCCACAAGGGGAAGCACAGTTGGTGCGTCCACCTTGACAACGAGCAGGGGGTGATCGATGTTTTGATGCGGAGTCGTGCTTTTTGGATAAAAAAACCTGTGAAAGCCAAGGGTCAGCATTCATGGAGTAAGTATAGCTCGGTGGCAGAGGCCTGGGAAGCGACGAAGACAGCATGTAGAAATGCAAACGTGTTGAAGCGGCCTGCCGCTGCGATTAAACTTTTGTCCTGATGGTGCTCTGCAAGCGCCTCAAACATGTGCTGCAAGACTATAGTTTGTGCTTGATCGAAAGCTCTGATTTTGTACAGAACACGGAAGGGTTGCGAGAAACGGAAAACTTCTGCATGCATGCTGCGTGTTTTTCCAAGTTTTGACCATTTTGCTTCAGTCGATCTGTGCACGTGCATGGCTCGTATGTCGTATGCATGGCTTGCATGTTTGCTGAAGTTTTTGTACAGTAATTTGTTTTGAATTTGTTTGGGGCCATGCGTTTTTAGCTGGCCGAGGCGCGGGAAGTGGAAGTGTAGATCTCTCACTCTGTCAACATATGAGCAGGTCATTTCTTGAATGTTGCTGCAGAAACGTATACTATGCTCGGCAGGTGCAGATGCATGGGCAGTTTTGTTGTCCGTCCTCGCAGGCTGTGATAGCATCGAGCATGCTTCTCTTTAGGGAGCTTGGCATAAGGTTTAGGGTTTAGGGTTCTTAGGGTTTGCGAATTCTGCGGCAGGTGGACACGGTGATCTCGATCATTCTTCGTTTTCCATGGATGTCGATCGAGGCCTGCTGCATGCATGCTTATTGGTTTGGGCTTGCAAGTGCTTGTGGCGTCCGAGTGTGTGGCCTTGAAAATCTGACCGAAGAAGAGTCTAGATATCACATGTCGTAAACATATACTTTAAATATACAGCAAAGATATGTGGCAGGTGCATGCTGCTGGCGATCGATCTCGATCTCTGCGATTTTGTGCGGCCGCCCAGCAACTCCGAGCTGAGAGCATCTCAATCGAAACCCTAAACTCCCAAAACTTTAGACCCTGATATTTCCAAAGCACAAACCCCAAACTTTAAGCCCTTTAAGTCTATAACCTATAGCTAAATATACACCTGGCTCAACTTCAGTTTAAACTTGAAACTTACCCTGATCCTTAATCCACGGCTGTATATATACGAAGGTGCATGGAGCACAGCTGTTGAAGTGTGGGCTCGTTTGGGTTTCACTTCAACAGGTCGCAAGGGTTCCCAAAAAAAACGTCCGAAAGCTTAGGCCTGACTGCGTCAACTGCGTTGCAGAGGTCGACATCCAGCTGCAAGGAGCTCAGATATCGACGTGCGCCGTTTATGTTGCAGGTTTGGGTTTGGGGTTTCGGGTTTGGGGTTTGGACGAGGCTTGAGACTTGAGGGTGCACTGCAGACGTCTCGCAGCCCAGAGCTCACCAACTTAAATCCCAAACCCGAAGAAAACCTCAGCCCGAAACCCGAAGTCCTTTCTACCTAATTACCTAAACATGCACTAAATCGAACCCCTTTGATCTGCAGGCTACGAGCAGCCGAACACTGTGACTGTGTGATGCTGCGAGCTCAGCACAGCTCTCCCCCCCTCCCCCCCCTGCCCCCCCCCTCCCCTGCCCTCCCCCCCTCCCCCCCCACCGCTTCCTCACACAACCCAAACGAGAGAATCTCTCGTTTGGGTGTGCCCCCCCCCACCCCCCCCCCCCCCCCCCCCCCCCCCTCCCCCCCCCCCCCCCATCATACCAATTCGCAGCTTGTTTGCGTTTAATTCAGCGCCCAAACCGGCCCTCGCCTTAAAGGTGCTCGCACGATGCACATTTTTCATCAAACTCCAACCCAAAGCACCAAACCCCAAACCCTGAAACCATAAGTGGAAACTTGAAACCCAAAACCTTATTGTCTATAGGGTTTAGGCTTTAGGCCTAGGTTAAGGGTTTAGGGTTTAAGGTTTAGGAGTTTAGGGTTTAGGGTTTAGGGTTTAGGGTTAACGGTTTAGGGTTTAAGCTTAGGGAGGTTTAGGCCTAAACTTAAACCCTAAACCCCAGACCCTAAACCCTAAACCCTAAAAAGTAGCTTCTGAGGACGCCTACTCCTTAATCAAAGGGGGACTGGAGTCCCTGGGTCTTGGGAAGCTAAAGGGTTTGGGGTTGGTTGTTTCGGTGTTGGCCCATTTTCATAGCTTTCGTCAGCCCTCGTGAGTGTCAGCTCAGGGTTTAACCCAGGTTTAGGGTTTAGGGTTCAGGATTTGGCATTTGTAAGCCTTTGGGGTTCAGCCTAGGGTTCGGGGTTTTAGGTTGAGTCGTCCTGATTTCCACTGGGCCCATAAGCCTCTTGCTCTTTAGGGGTCACTCTTAAGGCTTACGGTTCGGGGTTTCTGGACTGCGAGGTGGAGATACGATTCCGACGTGCTCTGCCATGGATGCTCCAGGCCCGGCCGTCTGCACTGCTTTGGAGTGTGAGCTGAGCACCCAAAAAATTTTTAACACACATTTTTTTAACATTTTTTAACTGTTAAAAGTTGTCGGTTTTCCAAAGGATTTCCTTTTGAAAGACGTTTTTTTTAACAGTTAAAAAATGTTAAAAAAAATGGCTGTTAAAAATTTTTGGTTCAGAGCTCGGCAGGTTTGGTCTGCCTTCGGCAAGATGGTCTGAGGCGCTGGAGCTCGCTGTGAGCCGAAGTTTCGATCGTGTACTGGCTTCTTTCTGCTTTCACATGCACATGTAGAGAGATGGTTGTTGCTTATATGTTTTGAGCACATCAGTGCAACGATCCTCAAGACCTAGGAGCCAGATTCACGACTACATATAGATCTGTTGCCTTGCCGACAGCATGGGCAAGAAAGTGATTACTCCCAAGGCCAAGGCTGCGCCAAAGAAAACGGCAGCGAAGAGCAAGGCGAACATGTCCAAGCTAGCGAGGGCTGCAAAAGCCAAGGTAGAGAAGAACTCACCGCGACCCCAGAAGAAAGGCCCAAAGGCCGAGATCGATGAGACAGATGCGCAGACTTCGGAAAGCACCAAAGGCCTAGGATACCCAAGAGGCACGATCAGTGCCTTGATTACTTCGCTGAAATACCAAGCGAAGGCGAAGAAGGTGACGGAGGATCAGAGGGCTGATTGCATGAAGACTTTGAGCGATACTGTACTGCATTAAGAGTTAGGTGCTTTTATAGACTTGCTGATTTTACTTAGTATGAGATGTTTTTTGTCCATATGAGTAGCTGCGGGATACATGCTTGTGTGCTGCCGGCCATAAAGCCTGCAGTTCATTTATGCCAAGGAGTACCAGTCGGGCGACCTCGCTACCCAGCGATCCATCTTGAACAACCTCTCCAAGTTCGGTGTCCAGAACTGCAGCTGGGTGCACACTCTTCACAAAACCACGACCAACACAGAGGTGGAGGCTGAGCGATTGCGAACCAACTTCTTGACCCGGATGCTGGGGCGCAGTGAGATGTTCGTACCTTGTGCTTTGCTGCAGTGTTCGTTTTGAAGTTTTTTTCCGACAAGACTCTGAGGAAAGCAATCTTCAAGCTGCAGGGTGTGGAGCACAAAGACTTGTCGGAGGAGGAGCAAGCTGAGGTGTTGGAAGAGCTGCTCACGGCCCAGGAGAAACTCTTCGGCTACGAGCGGCACGTGGAACGACATGGGAAGTTCCGAGTGTTGGATCGCTTCTTGTTCAAGTGGTCCGAGGGTCAGACGCTTGACACCGCCACGACCAGCCAAACCCAGAGTGTTTCGACTGCCACAAACTTGAAGAAAACGGGCTCTGCAAGGGCCGTGGAGATGATGAAGCATGGTGGCTCGCTCACTGAGGGCGATGGGGATGGCGAGCCGAGCACAGCGAAGCCCAGCGAGAGCTTTGGCCTCTTGAAGGAAAAGCGAAGGGAGTTGGAGCGAGGACTTGCTTTTCGTCCTGACACAGGTCCGCAGCTTGGAGGACTCCTCACGGGCCAAAAAGGAAAGCGAGCTGCAGAAAGCCTGCACTGCTTTGGACGGTTTTCTTCAGAAGATTCGCTCTGCCCTTGCTGAGAAGCTCCCGCAAGACGTTGCCGACGACTACACAACCCAGATTGGCGACTTGGCCAAGGTGCTGGAGGAGGCCACTCTACACGAGAAGGCTTCCAAGCAAGTTTTGAAGACGGCTAGAGCACTGCTGCTGTGAGCTGTCTCTTGTGTGCACTCCAGGTTGAAAGGATCGTAAGCATCCTTTCAGGATTCGTTGCTGCTAGCACCCGCCGGCACTCAAAAAGAAAGCATTAGGGTTCTGCATGCGACTGCACCTGTGTGTAGCAAGCTTCTGCAAGTTGCCCTTGCTTACCTCTTGCATGCCGCCAGTCGAAGCTCCAGAGGTGTACTTTGCTTGAAAGGACTACTAGGACGGATCGGAGTGACTGCTGCAAGATTTGTTAACACAGGGGCATTTGTTTCGTACTGTCTAGAATATATGTGTTGCAGAGCTAGATGCTTGCATGCACGTACTTGACATAATTGTTTTGTTCGTTCAGCGACGGAGCTCATGCATGCCAGCCTGTTTTGTTCCTTTTGCCTTTTCTTCTTCGCAGGAGATTTGTCCATGTACCTGAAGCGAACACTGGCTTCTACAGATGACATTCCGGAGAAGAAGCGGTTCAGGGCTGATATTTTGGACTTGACCATCAGCTCAGATATTTCTGGACAGCGGGCCGCCAGGCTCATTCACCATGCGAAATTAGCCAACACAGAGAATATCAGCGACTTAGCAAAGGTTCCTGTGGGCAAAAACTCTGCGAGGGATCTGTTGAGGCGATGTTTCCGCAATTCGAAATGGCCAGATGTTTATACATTGGAGGTTCCGGCCTGGAACCCTGGCAAGAACGTGCCCCAGAATATGAAGCTGCACATGCTGCTACCGCATGAATTGATGCTTGCTGTGCTGAAAGTGAATAGCATGGACGGTCTCTTGCGACGGCAGCAGCTGGCATTGGCCCATCGGCCCGACTTAAGCAGACACCTTGGCCAGGCCTCTGCCCAGCTCGGCATTGATGCTACGAAGACTTTGATTGCTGGACTTTGGGTGGACTCTGTCCCGTTTAACAGCGACAGAACACACAGCCTGGAGGTCTTCACATTCAGTTTGATTGGAGAGGGGCCGATGAGGTTTCCGATTTGTTGCTTCCCCAAAGCCTTTTTGAAAAAGCACTCCACCCACGATGCGATACTCGCCGTTTTGGCTTGGTC